TAGCATAGAGCCTGGCATAAAGTAGGCACTTATATTTTTGATTTTAAAAATCATGCATACAAATGAATCAATGAAGGCATAAAAAATACAGTTAGGTTACACCGAATGTGGATGAGATGACAGTTTTTATTAAATACTACTTAAGGGATTTCTAGGAATTGGTTTATGTTAAGGTCTTCCTTTCGTGTTAAGAAACATCTATTGGGTACCTATTTTCCGCTAGGTGTTAGAATTTACATAGTTGAATATGATGTCACTCTTGCCTTCAGCGAGGACAGAGTTATGTAACCAGATAAATTGCAGAACAGAGTGATGAATGCAGTGGTGATGGGTGTCCAAGGTGTAGAGGGAGCACAGAGGAGGAAGAACGAACCATATCTGGAGAATGGGATGGGCATTAATTTCACTTATTCATCTTGTTTATTGTCCATTTCTCCTACTGGAATGTAAGGTATACATTTTTTTCTTTTACTTATTTTTATTTATGTGTTTTTTAATTGCCCTATCCCCAGCTCCTAGAATAGTACCTAGCATGCAATATGCATTAAGTAAATATTTGTTGTATGAATGAATGATTCTCCTTTCAAAAGGAATTTACCAATTATATGTCCACTAACAATATATCATAGTGATTTTACCCACATCCTTACCATGTGTGAAACATTTTTAGCTTTGCTAAATTGCTATACCATCTCTCTATTAAAAAAACAAAACAAAACAAAACACAAAAGCAAACCTTCCCTTGACTACCATTCGTCTCCAGCAGTTCTCCCTATTTTTCTGCTGCCCTTGTATAGCAAAATTCTTAAGGAGTTTTCTGGGCCTGCTTTCTTCCTTTTCTCTCTTCCCGTTCTATTGTGAACCCACCATTAGTCTTTCATCCCTTCTCCATTGAAACCACTCTTGTCAATATCACCAGTGATCTCCATTATGCCTTTCCCATGGCATCTCATCCTACTGTACTTCTCAGCAGTGTTTGAGAGAGTTAATGACCTCTAGAAATATTTTCCACTTTTCTCCCTGGATTTCTTCCAATTTCATCAATGACTTCTTAAGTCTCCATTGCTCCTTCTTTCTCCCGTATTCAGTCTCCAAAGGTTGGAGTGTCCTAAGGCTCCTACCTGGTCTCTCTTATCCTCTCGTTTTCCTTAGAGAGCTCATGCAGTGCCATCATGGCTGTAGTCGATCTAGCATCTGCATTTTCAGCTCTGACTTTGCCCCACAGCTTTAGACTCCCACATGCAATGGTTGATGCCGCAGTAGTACTTGGATGCTTAATGAATATCTCAGAATTACTTGGCTGAAAAAGCACTATTGACTAACCCTCTCTTTAATGTCTTCCTCTCTCCAGTCTTTCCCATTTCAGTAAATAGAGCTATTGTTTATTGTTACACCAAAAACTAAGTTATCCTTAACACATCTTATCTCACAATCTACATCCAAGCTTTCAGCAAATTTTGTTGGTTCAAGCTTTAGAATATGTTCTGAATCCAATTACTTTTTACCACCTCCTCAGTTGACTCACTGGTCTAACCCACCACATGCTCATCTCTCTCTTGAGTGATTACATCCCCTCTACTTGGCCTCTCTCTTCCATTCCTGGGTGGTCGTCCCCACCAGCCAGTGATCTTTTTAAAGCGTAAGTAAGATTCCATCACTCCCCTCTCTAAGTCTTCTGAGGACTTGCTTTTGCACTGAGAATAAATTCAAAAATCTTTTTTAAAATTTATTTTTCAATTGCAGTTGACATACAATATTCTATTAGTTTTAGGTGTACAACATAGTGATTAGACATTTATATACTTTACGAAGTGATCACCCCGTTAAGTCTAGTACCCATCTGATACCAAACATAGTTATTAGGATATTATTGACTATATTCCCTATGCTTACTTTACATCCTCACGACTGTTTTTATAATGAGCAATTTGAACTTCTTAATCCCTTTCACCTTTTCACCCAACTGCAAAGTCCTTACCATGGCTTTCGAAGCTGGATAGGATCTGGCCCAGCTTTCCTCTGTGCTCGTTTTATGGCTCATCCTGCTCTCACCACAGTGGTCTTTGGATGTTCTGCAGACATGCCAAGCTCCGTCCCAACACAGTGTTGCACTTGGTATTCTCTGTTTGACCAGTCCATGAGCCTGAGTCCCCCATCTGAAAAAGGGGAAGGAAACCAGTAGATCCTATCTCATAGGGTTGTTGTGAAGATGAAGTTAATATATTGAAAGCACTGAAATGGTGTCTGGGACATACTAAGCACTGTATAAATGTTAGCTATTATTTTGTTGTTTTTGTTATTGTTTCTGTTTTAAGAACTAGAGAAAGAATTCATTTTGTGTTGTGTCGTAGATGCTTGTGAGATGTACAAATACACTACAGGCTGTTAAATGTATTCATTTGTAATACAAATGTAAAAAGAGATATTTTAATACCTTAGAGGAACGAGCAAAACTTCTAACTGTAATTTAGTGTCTAGAGATTAGTTTGTGAATTGGGAAGATGCAGATCACTAAGTGCCTTGTATTTGACACACTCTATACAAAGCTTTCTGCATAGATGGCAGCCATCATGCTCACAACTCTACTGGCTACTTAGATTAAAGAGTTCAACTGTCTTTCTGGTTTAGATTTTCTTTTCTTTTCTTTGAATGTCTTTTAGTGAGCCAAGGCCTGGATTTTGCTCTGGAAGTCTGCCCTGCCCGCTTCTGTAATCTGGCGCTATGCATCCAGATCCTGGAGCCTTACAGACACTGCTCTATGCTACTCTTTCGATTCTGTGCTCTTCTGTGAGTTCAGGTAAGTGTAGAAGAATGGTAGTGTTTTAGCTGAAGCTTTTTCTCACCTTAATCTTATAAGAAGCAACTGTCAACTTAAGTATCCTGCCAGTAGTAATGGTTTCTAAAGACATTTATAAGATTTGTTTGACCAGTGGAATGATTTTTAAACTTTGATTAACTCAGAATCTCTTAGTAGGGCTTCTTGGGCATTAGCAGGCCTTCTCATCATTGTCCTTGATTCCTTTTGTTGCTTTAACAGTATTTCCTGATTGTGATTTTTTTCAAAGAGGGCATGTTTCAAATTCCTGAATTTGGAAATCATAACAGGAATAAAATGCTGACTGTATACTACTATAGAGAAATTTTATAATCAACTTGGAGTGAGAGAACTTGGTTCAAACCTCAGGTCTCTCCTGACCTTGCCTAATTTATTATCTAACGCTTTGGGTTACCAAAAAGTTTAAATGTTTTGTTGTTAAATGTGTATATAAGCCTGAACCTAATCCATGCGCCACATGCATGTTTTTTTATTATAGATGTGTGTATATGTTTAATATATAATAGATTTACAGGTAAGTATATGCAAATACAGTGATATTTATTCATTAAGTAATATTTATTTTCTCTTAAAAATACAGTATAACTTACATTTAGTAAGGGAAAATTTGATTTAGTGGTTTTATTTCTCTTTTTGTTTTGCTAAACAACAGCCTCAGATTTGGTCAAGAGAGGCACTTCCCTTAATCTTCATTTCTGATAAAATATCCTGTAAAAGTAGGTTCAGTAATTTATTGATTTTAAAAAATTAAAAATGTATTTTTAAAAAGTATTTTATTCTGCCATATTAACAGCATTCCTGTCCTCTGCCTTCTTTTCAGGGTGGAGGAGGGGGCTCTGTTTTGATACTTAAGTGCAAGTTCCTGGAGGAATAGACATAACAAATGAAATGATTCCAAACACCAAATAAAAATAGTAAAATGGATACCCTATTTAGCCTTATATCCAAAAAAGGATAGACTTTGTAGTTCATTGTGGCTTCCTAACATTTTATTTCTGCTTTCTTAAAAGTTAACATTATTTTATATTATAGGGAAGTAGTAAAGAAGTACCATAGTCTTATTTATAAAATAACTTGCTCTTAAGGTCAGATCCCGTTGGTAAAATGGGAGAGAATTCTTTTTATTTTGAAAGTCATCTCCACTTTTTCAGATTCTTAACTTTCATTTCTTAAAACTTAACTTCGTTAAAAGATCGGTTTGCCATTTCTCATTTATTTTGGTATTTTGTTTGATTGGTTCTACCCTAATTATTAAGTCCCACGTTAACATGTTGCCTTTTTCTTTTAAACATGGGCTTATAAGACTTCCTAGAACTTTTACAAGCATTAAGAACCATAACATATAAAGTAAGAGATGGCCATTATTTACATAGATTCAGATGACATGTATTTAATATACTCTTCTTTCTCTTTCTCCTTCTTGCCCGTTCTCCCTGCCTTTTGCACACGGGAATCGTTCCCTTGTAGACTTGGCCCCTTATTTTATTTCTGAGCCACTGTCTGCCGTCCAGAAACTTGGTGGTCCTGTCGATCTACATTGCTCTGCTAAACCTGTGACCACTCATATCACATGGTTACATAATGGAAAGCGATTGGATAGAAACTTGGAACAGATTAAGATTCATCAGGGGACTTTGACTATTCTTTCTCTTAACCCCTCGCTGTCGGGCCACTATCAGTGCATTGCCAACAACAGCGTCGGCGCAGTGGTGAGTAGCCCTGCGACGATATCCACTGCAGGTGAGTGTAATTTTGTCCCTGTTATTTATGGTCTTTCCTGAAATTACTGCTTGTACTTGCATTTTTGAATACTGGGAAGAGCATGGGTTTTGGAGGAAGGCACACGAGAGTTCTCATCCCAGCCTTGACTCTTGCTGTGTGTGTAACTTGGGGAAGGCACTTGAACCTCTGTGAGCCTCGCCTAGTGCCTTCATCTGTAATGAGGGTATGGAAGTGTTTTTTTTTTAACATGGTTAGCACAGTTTTCTAATGTGATTCTGAATTTCTTTGTGAGTAGTTAAAAGTCCTAATATGAGCAGCAACAAAACAGCTATTGTCTGCTTTGACACTCGGTTATTTTATATAGTTCTTTATCTTTCTTGCACATCTAATTGTTTTATTTGCCTTGATTACTGAGTGATTTTAATTTATTTAATTGAAACCAGGCTAAAGAAACAGGAAAATAATAACCGACTGTAAAGAAAAGAATGTTGAGTATCGAACTTAGGCAAAATCTGGAACGCGTGATTTTCTTAGTGAGTTTGAGCCATCTGCCTTTCAAACGGTGATGGCTTCCAGTAATGGAAAACGTCTTTGTAAGGGCACCCCTATTTACAGAACAAATCTGGATTCCCCAGGAGTAGTGAGTTTGTCATAACTGAGAAGAGTAAATGTTTTTGTAGAGCTGTGACCCATGGACAGCTCCAAGACACACAATCGGAGGGCTGAATTCCTAGCGGCAAGCTGCTGGACATTTTCAGTATTGGAGATAACCCTTCTTTCCTTGCAGGCTCCAACTGTAGTAAACTTACACTGAGACGATTTGAGACCGAGTTAGTACATTCAGATAATTCAAATGATATATGGCTTTGTTTTTCGATGTCCTAGGTTCGTTCCCATAAACTATTTTATTGCAATATGAGTAGCTACAAACAGAATGGTGATGCG